GGAGGGTCCCCTCGAATTCGATTTTGACGAATTTGCCCGCTTCCTTGAGCTCGATCTCGACGCGCTGCCCGAAGGGCTGGAGTCGTGGGAGCCCCTCGATTCCGATTTTGGGGTGTGAGGAGCTTATCTGGGATGTGTCAGATGTCGGAGGGCCAGCAGCCGAGAATGCTAGGGGGCAGACGAGGAGCCCTTGGTCATGATGTTGGATTTATTCTAGGGCGGTCGATGCGGATATGGAGAGAGCAAGATTGTGTCTAAGGAGAGGAGCGGCAGCAAGATGGAGTATGCTTGCGCGATATAGAGCATACAAACGCACTTCCAGTGACCAAAAACATGATGGGCTGCGAAAGAAGATGGGAGAGAAGCCCTCCCCCTAGATCAAGTGACAAGAAAGGTCGCTGGATATCGGTCGGCGGGGGAGGGGAGAACGACATCATCATGGCGGCTGAGCAGACATGATATCCAACGATATTGCCTCTGGCAACAACATAGAAAACAAACACCGGTCAAGTGTGCCAGAAGGACTGACAAAGGCTTTCAAAGAGCGTCGTGCTCACAGACGGCTCGAGGTATGTTTGATACATCAGCATGGGGCTTACGACACTGACTGACAGTCGATACAGCCGAATACATGGACAAGGGACTGACTCCCCAGGGCGTCGGGGGTGAACCCATGCATTTTCATTCCCTTCCGTCCCTCCTCATGCTCCAGTCTCAGCACCTGGAAAAGCTCCGAGCTCCAAAGCTCATACAGCGCTGCTTGCATGGTGTCCAATCCCGTCACCCGGAATCATCCCCAGGTCACGACAGCGGATCCTGGGAATCGAAGGACTTTTCCAGATGATCTTTCTTGCCTCTGTCCGCAAGAATATCGACTCAGTCTGGGCCCCTCTTATGCCACGGGCGGGAGGTGACAGCATTGAATGGCCGCCTCTCTGTTCCCACATCTCCCTCAATGAATATCACAAGGTAGAGGATCTTGTCGCCGATCCTGGATCTCTCTCTCATCGCGGCCCATGCCACGCGTGCAGAGCGCATGCGCCTGCGGAACAACAAGAGACAGAAGCGAGCCACTGTCAGGAAGAGACTCTATCTCAAGCGCGGGTGCGCCAAACCACAGAGACAACAGTAAGTTGCAGAGGCTCGGCCTCGACTTTGCAACAGTCATGCTGGGATGGAGTTGGGTCCGGTTGATGTCTCTGGTCCCCGGCAAGCCAAAAGGCCGATGGTGGTGGATGATGGAAATTTCTCACATTACCTGTGAAGCATGTTAGTCGATATGAGAAGAGGGTTGTCCCCATGCGTGAGACCTATCGAGCCGAGACGGTCTTGGTCATGATGTCGGATTCATGATACACAATAGATGAACGACTCTCAACAATCACTGGGCGCATGGTTTAGTGGTATAATACTCCCTTAGCATGTTCGAAGCAATTCGACAACTAATTGGGAGTGGTCCTGGGTTCGATTCCCAGTGTGTCCAATTTTTGCCAATCCGCTCCATCTCCTTTGGCCCGGACGAGTGCGGATCTGGTGGGCTCTTTTTGCTGGGAAAGCTGGTTGTCATGGCGTGGTTGTTGTGCGTTGCTTGGACAGGCAGTCGGCGGGCAGCTGAATCACCGGAATTGCTGGAGTGGGTAGAAATTCTGCATGGACAAGCAGCACCCTATCAGTATTTGCTTTGCTATTTTGTGGGCAGTTTTCCAATCATAATGGATGCGCAAGAGTACATCTGTCTCCAGTCTCTCGACGAGCTGGAATCGTGGCTTTTATTGTACAAAACCATCTATATCATTATACAGAGACTACCTGCTCTTCAGCTTCATCCAACCACTCGTTCCACTACGGGTGGGCTCCGGACCAGTCGACGATTTGGCCACACTGGGTATTTCCTTGGCATCGCCCGGTGTGCTCTCACGCGTTTCCTCCACCTTCCACTCGTCATCTTCGAGTATCTCCCAGTCAGGGGCCGGTGCGTCGCCCAGCAGCTTCTTCTTCAACCTGTCCGCAAGCTTCATTGGGCCCGGGAGCTTAAAAGACCGGATAAGCTCGGTGCCCTCGGCGCCTCCGAGGAACCGATGCATGGTCCCGTGTGAGTAGTGCCCGATGCAAGACTGGGGCGCATCGGGATCCTGCTGCTCGGCTTGGGCCGTCTTGCCAGAGCCGTTACTACCGGGTGAGTCGTCCTTGTTGGAGGACCGTTGGTTGATGAGAAGGTTGTATAGATTTCGACCCATGTTGCAGATATCATCAAATGAAGTCTTCTCGCCCACACTGATTCCTTGTGAGGAGCATAGCCAGGCGATGTCGTAGGCTAACAGCGTGACTCCTTCAATGAAGTAAGAATACGTCGTAGGGTCCTCCTTTGAAAGCTGCGGAAGCGGTTTGTCGACAAAGAGAGGCCGTGGGCGCGGAACATGCCTCGTGTCCGAACTTCTTGCCTCTACTGGCAATATCGAGCCTGGCGTGTTTGGGAAAGTAACCTCTGCGTGCTTGTAGGAGCCAGCCAGATTGAAGATGGTGGGACGTGGGTAGTCGCGGTGAGGGAGGGTGATCTCAGCAGGCAGCCTGATAGCGAGGTAATGGGAAGCCAGCATCAGAATGTGTGCAATGTGGCTCAGCGAGGTCGAAATGACTTCTGGCGAGATGTCTGGGGCTTGTTAGCACATGTGCCGCGGCTCAGCAGAGGTTCATACGTACTATTCATGCCACTCAAGTCCACGACGGGAAGCTTGCCAAGGTAATATTCGTAGCGGCCGTTTGGGCTGCTTTGGAAACGCTCCAGGCCATACAGCATGGCGGCTTCGGCGCACAAGAAGGAGCGCGTTCTAGCCATGTCTTCCTCGCTCTCTGCCCAGCGGTAGATAGTCACCTGCGTCGACTTCTCGACCTCCTTCTGCTGCCTGGCCCTGCGATCGGCCAGGCCCTGTGAGACGGCCGTCAGGTCCAGCCTGCGCCGGGCGATGGCCGCTTTCCTCGCCTGGATCTCAGCTCTGGCAGCCTCCATGTCTTCACGGAGCTTGGCTGCGACAGCCATGATCTTTTCCGTCTGGTCCTGCGCCATCTTGCGCTCTGCCAGAGCCGCGGCGACGGTCTCGCTGGCAGGCCGGGCCGCTGCATCTTCCAACATGGTGTTGATTTTGGTCTGGAGCCCGTCATTCTCAAGCAGGATTTCCAGGTTCCTCATTCGGCCCATGTATATCCGGTTGCGGGCATCAACAGCGCAGAGGAAGGGGAGGCGCTGTGCATCGTGGCCACGGTGACATATGTCGCACTCCATCATGGCGAGCTCGGCGCAATGGCGCTTCGGGGCGATGAGATTAGCTGTGGGAGATGCCAGACATGAAGGTTGAAGTGCTGCAAAATGCCCGGATCGCAGGCTATTATATGGTGGTTCTTTTTAAGTTTGAGAAGATGGAAGCTTCGGTTTCCAGGTGAACTAGTGAGACATGTAGTATGTAGTATGTAGGTTTGAGGCACGACTCTGCCTCTATAACCTGGTATGACCTCAGTAAGAATGACGAGAGTCATGGAGGTCACGGGGCTTGAGGCTGCACACTGCACATGGCCCAGTGAATTAGTCCTAGGTCGGTTCTGTACTACAGTGGGGGCATTCCAGGTACAGGCAACCTTCAGGTCCTGCCTGGGGCGATGTGGATACCTCCTTCATCCAATCCATTCTTCCCTTACCGCCTGAACCATTCACTTGAGGCAGGAGCCCACCCTAGACCTTTAAACAACAACCACTCGAATCTGCAGGACCAGGTCTTTGGGCATCAACCCCGGATTTTTATGTCAAGCATAAGAGCAAAGTCACACCTAATTGCATTTTCCCCTTGGTCTTACCCCATAGACGGCGAGTATTTCTACCAGGTCCGGCTCTGTGAATTGAACATTGACAATATAGTCTACGTATTGTCAACCTGTTCTGCTGGTCATGGCTTCTCCAACAAAACCTCAGATGGGACGCGACGTTCCCAAGACGCAGGAGATCCGAGGCGCTGCGCTCACTAATGGTGATGCGGCCAGAGCTGAGGCTGGGAAGCGTCTTCATTCAGACACAAAGACACCCGAGCCTCGACCAGACCAGCAAACTGCCGTGGCCAACACGCCGAGCACGCCTGGAACACTTGCTCCATTTGACTGGAGCGACTTCGAGGCCCGATATGAGCGCGCTCTCCTGGAAGCAGACGAGCAGGAGAAGAACATACTTCGCGAAGCCGAGGGCCTTGCCAAGGTATGTGCCGTCCAGCATGTCAACGGACCAGTGCTCATTCAGGCCCTCAGTACTTCCAAACGTGGGCCTCTGCCGCCTCGTCCCACGACGATGAACGGGCCATCAAGCGCCTACAGACGCAGCAACGCTACGTGAACCTGTCGGAAGAGAAGACGGCGCAGAAGCAGCAGCACTGTAAGTGCAGCAGCGAGTACGTCTCCAACGTGGAGATGATGCTGATTTGTGTGCGCAGACGAGGAGGTGGTACGCGCATTTGAGAGTGCTCTGGCGCTGCTTCGGTCTAGATGATGATATGATGATGATGATTATGCGACGACAATGTAGTTTCATGTTTCTTGTAGCAGCAGGACTGCGAAACCAAATATACCCATTATGTTGACCATGGCCTAGTGGTGTACTGGCCAGGCGCAGATTGAATGGAATTCCCAAGACTACTCTCCATCACCGTAGAGGCACAAATCTACGTAAAAGGACTGGAATATCGGCTAAGTACTTAGATCTAAAACCTGCTTCGTCAAGCCGTTTGTCGAAACAGCCATCCTGTAGACGTAGGACGACCAGCTCCAACGCTCTATCAACAAAAGCTCATCCATAATACGCCATTGCCATTAAAGAGACAAAGCGAATAGAAACCACTCATATTCGACCTTTCCTGGAATGTCGTGGTACTCTACCTCGCAACCTCTCGATACAGCCACAGCCAAATCTCTAAGCACAACTGGGGATATATACCAAACTATTACTACCATCAGCATCAAACAACGCGGGTTTAGCTCAGTTGGGAGAGCGTAGCACTGAAGATGCTAAGGTCGTGTGTTCGATCCACACAAACCGCAAACCCTTTCTTTTTGCATCTGGGTGCGCTGATCCTCTTTTTGGCTTTGTGAATCCTTGCTAGCCACAACCAGCACCTAAGGCAACCTTACTAGGTAGGTCCAGTTTTCTTCACGTACGTCGCGTGAGAGTTCCTTTTTCGATCCTAACATCACATCGCTCCATCGCCAGTTCGCCAATGCGACGCCCGCCTTGAAAGCTGCCTCGTAACGATGGCGACATCGAAGTCCAACAGCAATGCTGCCATCGTTCCCCGAATCTCACCGGTACGTACTGCCGGCTTCTTTCCGTCAATACAGGGCTGACAGGTACAGGAAGAGCTCGTCTCGTTCCAGCAAGCTCACTTCTCGTCTATGGCCCTAGCTCGCTTCGAGAATGAATTTATGAACCTGGATGCATCGCAACAGTATCCCCATGATCCTCCCGCCGAGGAGTGGAACGACGATGGACTTGGGTATTATCCGGATGGGGTGAAACGCACCTTGACGGACGAGCAAATCGAAATCTTCCGTCATTCGGAACTCAAGGCTCTCCGACGGGCCCGAGAACGTTCGAAATCTGCAGCTGCTGCAGGAAGTGCTGCCACAGATAGCGAGGAGCACCATGACGATGATGCGGCTCTTACGACATGTTCTAATGAACAGTTCCATTCTGGGCCCGACAAGAAAAAGAAGAAGAAGAAGGCCCCAAAGCGCCCTAGGCCTGAGCCGAAACCCGATCTACGAAAGCGGACATGGGATGTAGTAGACGCAGGACTGGACACGCTGGACTACGATTAGTCCACAGACGAAAGCCAAGGGAATTAGTAATGGGCTTGCTCCTGGTTGCGAGTCCATATGCCAATGTGCAGGGCCGATTGGAAACCCCAAATCCAACAGCATGATGGCGAGAATGACGCGGTAAGTCCCGAGCACTCTGCTTTGCCTACGTCACACCCATACGCATGCATGATGAAAAAGTTGTCATCCTTATTCGGAACACAGTGGGAGATGTAGGAACCATTGGCTCTGCTGATGGGGATGATCTACCCGCGGTGGCATGGCGACCATAATCTTCTCTCTGAAACATGCCTTTGGGTTTATTTCTCACCTTTTACCGTTCGCACCAGCCTGCTAGGACGTCACTGACTAGGAGTTCAGTTCTGCCAGAGAAGCAACTCAAGCGTGGGAATGGTGGTTGGGTATGGGTGTGGTCGGACTTTGGTGCACGAATGACGGAACGCGAAGACGATTTCGAGGAATTCGGCAAACATACCAGGATAGGTCAATAGAACAGGAAAGGTGGGTTTTGGAGGCTGGTTGCTTTCTTGTTTATTGCAGTTAGGAGCTCCGTACCTGGTGCTGGATTCCTAATTGTGACCCTGGATGACATGGAAGCCCAAGACTGTTGGCAGCCTTGCCTGAATGAGCCAAGCGCTGTACTGCACCGCATTCTCTAACCTCCCCGGAAACACATGATCAGGTGGGTAGTTAAGTAGTACATACATACTATATAAGGATCATTCCGTAAATCACCTTTTTGATTCTGACTGATGTTCGTCTGCATCTGGCCAAGGTGATCTAGAACCAGAAGGCTAGGGGCCGACAAGGGAGCATCCCACCAACACCCAGCCATTCATCTCCACCCGCCACCTTTTCCTTCTCCACTCCCGCCTGTCTTAGTCACGGGCTGCCCGACCGATACCAGACCTGGTGGCTGTATCCATCAGGTACGCACCAAGCGACCATTGTCTTCTTCGTCCAGACGCACCACACAACCCAGCGTCCCCCGACGATCGCTCCGCCCTCGCCGGCAGCAACCTCCCTCGCTCGCCATCCCACGCGACCCGCGTCGCTCGCATCGCCAGACTTCCTATTCCTCGTCATCCTCTAGTCGACGTCGCGTGCCTGCGACAGAAATCCGTCATCATGGCGCGGGTCTACGCCGATGTCAACCAGAATATGCCCCGCACCTACTGGGACTACGACAGTGTTAATATCAGTGTGTTGCCCTGCCTCTCGCTCCCTTCTGGCGTCGTGGCCGCCGCTGCTTCCGCCGTGGATGCACGCGGCCAGGCGGTTGGCTTTCACGCTGTTTAATTTTTCTCGTCCTTGCTGACCGGTGTTTGTCTTTTCTCTGCGCAGGCTGGGGCGTTCTGGAGAACTACGAGGTCGTTCGCAAGATTGGTTAGTGACAAGCTTTTCATTATCCCCCACGATGCGGATGGCACGTTGTGCGTCATCAACCCTAGAGAGCGTACCTGCTAACATTTCTCGATTCAATTAGGCCGTGGAAAATACTCCGAAGTATTCGAAGGCATCAACATCGTTAACTATCAAAAATGCGTCGTCAAGGTCCTCAAGCCTGTCAAGAAGAAGAAGATTAAGCGAGAGATCAAGATCTTGCAGAACCTTGCCGGAGGTCCCAACGTTGTCGCCTTGCTCGATGTTGTTAGAGACTCGCAGGTACGCCGGCTTACATTGCCGTCCTCTATCTTGGACCCGTGGTCCTTCGAACCCATACTGACTTGACCTCGGGCATCAGAGCAAGACGCCTTCCCTGATCTTCGAGTATGTCAACAACACCGACTTCCGGAGCTTATACCCCAAGTTCAACGACCTTGATGTCCGGTTCTACATCCACGAGCTGCTCAAGGCTCTTGATTTCTGCCACAGCAAAGGCATCATGCATCGCGACGTCAAGCCTCATAACGTTATGATCGATCATGAGAATCGAAAGGTAAGCCTTCCCGTTTGCATCTTGGACTTGCGCTGACCGTATCCAGTTGCGCCTCATCGATTGGGGACTTGCTGAATTCTACCACCCTGGCACGGAGTACAACGTCAGGGTGGCCTCTCGCTATTTCAAGGGACCCGAGCTCCTGGTTGATTTCCAGGAATACGATTACAGTCTCGATATGTGGAGTCTGGGAGCCATGTTCGCTTCCATGATCTTCCGCAAGGAACCCTTCTTCCACGGCAACAGCAACTCTGACCAACTTGTCAAGATTGCAAAGGTCCTGGGAACAGATGACCTCTTTGACTATCTGGACAAGTATGAGATCGAGCTGGACGCACAGTACGATGATATCCTTGGCCGATTCCAGAAGAAGCCCTGGCATAGCTTCGTCACGTCTGAGAATCAGCGTTTTGTCTCTAATGAGGCTATCGATTTCCTTGACAAGCTGCTTCGCTACGACCACCAGGTGGGTGCCATCTCTCGCCGCATCTACCGTGTTTCTCATTTGCTGACCCATTCGTAGGAACGCTTGACTGCCAAGGAGGCTCAGGCACACCCCTACTTCGACCCTGTGCGTGACCCTGAAGTCTTCCAACAGCATTTGGCTAGTGCCAACGGAGCATCCAACAAGGCTTGATGACCAATCCATATCATCCACAGACGTTCCGCATCTTGGCCGTCCTCTTCTCATGATACCCCCGTTCTCTACTCTCAAACCCCCAATGGCCTTCGTTTTCATGCGATACCCAAAGGACTCTGCTGCTGCCGCCAAAATCCTGGCCCAGTCGTCGAGCTGATGGTACCGGCTGCTGCGCACCACGTTTATCGAGCGACCATTCCCCCCCTGCGACGCTTGGATTCAGTATAGAGACGGGGAGATGGGGTTGACCCGGATTGGGATCATGATTTCATGGTTATGTGTAAAGATTTGACTGCGGCAATCATGAATATTGGCGAAACCGGGCGGATTGGCGTCCCTTCAGTATTAACTCTGGGCTCAAAGAAACATGCATCATCTCTTTCGCATTTCTGGCCTTGATACCATTTGGCTCGGAGCGGAACCAGGGCGTAGGGGTGCTTCGGTTGGAAAACACCACAATGACCCACGGGGGCGTTCCGGAGGATCATGGAAAAACCAGCGGCAATAGGAGGAATACGAGGGCAGCGCACGAGTATTTATTCCCAACCCCCCCTTGATTTAATTATTTTCAAGCTCAGTACTGTCACGACGCACTTTACACCATAGCTCTACATCGCATCACATTGCATCACGCCCAAGGTTTACTGAATAATTTTCTTTTTCCACCAACGCAAACTGCCCTTTTATGCTGAATCTGCTCAAGTGAGGTCTTTCGTGCTGCATTGCGTCTCTTAAACACCAAGATATATATATTATCTATCCTCATAAATTGCGTCCCTCTACCTATAGACAGGTGAAGCAGAAATCCCTGGCGCATCGGTATCCATCCACGCCGCATGCCCTCACTGTCCCTCCCGGCGTTCTGACTATGCTCCCAGGGCTCACTGGATCGCTGCGCTTCTTCTTCACGGGCGTGCGATACACCTCAGTCGTGCGCGCGCTGGACTTCCATATCTTGCGGATGACGGCGCTGCTGGAGGAGGATCTGGGCAGCATCTGGCTGAGCTCGTCATCGTGCCCGTCCTCGTCATCGTCGGAGAGCAGCGAGAGGACGGAGCGGCGGGAACGAGGAGCCCTTGTAGAGCGGAGGACGGAGTGGCGTGGGGTTTTGGGTGTAGGGACTTTGGATGGTGTCCGTGAGATGGGCTCCGGAAGGGGTGGATTAGGAGGAGCTTGGATGGGGCTTTTCACCGGTGAGTGAGTAGTTGTAGTAGCAGCGCTGTTCTCTGGAGCAGCTTGGTCTGCTAGAGTGGCCTCGCTAGGAGGATCATGAGATCCTTGGGCTGCGTCAGCTGGAGCATTGAGCACCATGGTTTCTTCCGCGGGCTCATCATCCACCACTTGCTGCTCGACGATCCTGGGCGGCGCTTCCTGAGCTGCCAAGTCGCAGCTCTGATCGGGGTTATGACTCGCAAGGGGTTCATCTCTATCTGCTGGGTCGCCCTCTTGAGTCTGTGTGTCCTTTCCACCTCTCGATAAGGATTGAGGACTTGGGCCGGACTTGGTCTCTTCTACCCTGCCGGAGCCCATGCTTGTTGCATCCTGACTAGCGGAATCTTGAGATGCCTTCCTCTCTGCGGCAGGAGAGGAGGCAACCTTGTCGGTCGGGTTGATTTCCTTTCGGAACCGAGGTCGGCCACGCTT